AAACACCTCCTCCACGAGAAGGCAGTGAGTAGGGCCTCCTCAGCAGAGGCTATTAGAGACGCTTGGTCATATGGGAGCATTTCACGAGGTGCAAGGGTAGGGTGACCAGCCGCAACCCTGGACACCCGACCATACTGAGCCTTTTGGAGGCAAACGAACTGAGTTGACCTCACAGTGTTTGAATCTGATTCACTATGGCTCATGTTGGTTAATCCGTTTCTACAATCGCCGTATCCTTTTTGACGTGTGTGAATTGTCCTTAATGAAATGTTCTACTTTCATTGAACCTGCACAAGTTTGCCAGAAATCTAATGCCAATTCATTTTGGTTTCAGTCATCCAAGGTCCCGTGGTTCGTTTGAATGAGTCCGCATCGAAACCCACACCACTGGTCCATCGATTGCCCAAAACTGTACGATTTCGTACAAACGAACCCCAAACACCACAATCACAATTGCAGAACACTACGCGCTCAACGGATGACATGCGTTCCCTGAACCAAACAACCCGAGTCAAACTTGGGATTATTCCGTTGGGTAGATCACAGTATTCGGCACAAACAGAATCCACCATGGCATCATTGATCTCGGACCAAGTAAGTATTGATTGTGCACATTGTTTATCGCTATTCTTCCGTTACTAGTGGAAACGGTATCGTACACTGTTCCATCATTAATAATTAATGAAGGCGTAGCTTGGCCGTCTGACACAAAACCGTCAGTTATGTCACGACAGTTCCCCCTTATACAGATTGGCCCAGATCCCCAATAATTCGGATCGTCACAGGCAGAACAGCTCAATTCCGAAAACACGTCAGGTGGTGGGTTCAAGTGAAAAACGGGCAAACAGCGGACTGGGGAGAGGGTGCCTACACGCCTCACAATCGCCAATCAGATCTTGAGGGCATGAGATTACCCAAAGGAGTAGTCATACCAGCGGAGATAGTTGTATTTGAAGCGAAAAAGGATGCCCCAAATGTCAGAGCGCTGATTCGTGCGGAGGAGCGTGGGACACAGAATGATCAACAAAGAGACCTGAGCAATACATGTAAGATGTGGGTGTATTGGATCTCGGTAAGCGGCACAGGAGTATGAAGTGACACATCAGAAAACAGAGTCCATAACAGGTTCACACCAAAGGTGAACTCCAAAATGCACACAGTAACGGTACAAAGTGTTTTTGCGCCAACGGAATAATCAAACAAAACACAATTCTGACAAGCGTGGGCGTCATCAAGCGAAGAATGAATTCAAGGGAACAATCAAGCAGCACGAGAGCAGCCGATTCGTGACACTTCAAAAGTACAACCTGGTTCCTTCCACGATTCCACGCAAGGAAAATTTCAGCTTGACAAAATAGGCCAACCTAAGACCGTTGAGACGGCAGTTTGCTACAGGACCTTCCATCTTCTAAATTCTTATCATCACTTCACTGTTAGTATAGATGTTCATAGCTCCAAACTACTATTATTCAACAAAATGATTAGGGCGATGCCAAAAATACCCTGTGGTTCTGCTAATAACCGCAACGGATACTAGCAATGGGATGTGAAGACGTGCGTTGTCGGTCTTGCAAATATTGGATGTTTTGCTCACTCCCTTCACAGTTATCAATCATACAATCAATCATTCCACCATTCAAAAAACCCGAATCAATTACATGAAAGACCAATCTGCTTAAAAAGCATCTCCCAATGGACTGTGGATTTCACACACACTACCGCAATGGCTTTCGTGTCAGGCTTTGACTAGAAAAAATGCGCTAGTTATGAATGCCTAAGAAAGTCACATGCATTGGTATGGGCAACCCGCTCACTGACAAACAAATCATGCGTTGATTTCTGTGTAGTTAAGATTCCGGTAGTTCGATTAATCTGACTCAGTTTTGACTCGGACAAGTGGTTTATATTTGCTAATAACTCAAATCCAGCATCTTATTGATACGAATTCGCCTGTCGTTTGAAGGCAACAATTTGTTGCAGGTTTCCCCATAACACGAGCACCGGCAAAAGCGAACAATCCCGTCGCGAACACCTGTCAACTGAACTGGCCATAGATATTGAAATGTTCTGGGTTTATTGGATCCATCTCTCCTTCAATAATTTACATCATTGTTACATCAGACCCCATGGTTCAGAATTGTAGTTTGCTGACCCTCGAATCAACTTATTTTGTAGTTCCTTTCCGAATGTTCCATTCTCACCGTTTGAAAGCAATCTATGTAACGGAAACTCCTCAAAACATTTTACTGGGGGGTTTATTTTGTTTTTTATGAAGTGCTGCATAATTACATCGTTCAATGTGTTTATAAAAGGAACAGTTTCCCTCCGGTTAGAACAGATTTGGACTGATAGTGTTCCCTGCTGTGTAGAACTTTTCGCAAGGTCGCTTCTGTAGTGTTTATATCATGTGGATTCATTGTTGGTTTTGCATTTTGCTTACTACTTAATTAATTGGGTGGTGGTGGCCCGGTGGTAACGTCACCAAATTACCACCTCGGGGACGTGTGTTCGAACCCCACCACCACCGCCTGACTTTCCCTATTGGCTGCTTCCCCCTTCCTGAAAATTGTATCATTGTGTATTCAATAAAAAGAAGTAAAAATTAAAAAGAATTATAAGTAGGTAGTTTCAAGATAGAACTCTTTCGTGACTCATAGTATCTGTGTGTGCGTGGCTGTCGACATAAAATTCCGAACAGATAATGTGAGCTAATGGATTCCCAGTGGAATATCACTGATTAGTATGTCACAGCTATTTCCACATCGCTTCTTTGAGGCTCCATCATTCAATATGACTCCATTCGTTTGAAAAATATCATAAATTCATCCACTGACTTAAAGACGTTTTCAACTTTGAGTGAATCTCTTTCAATGCCGTCTTATACGGAAAGCCGCGCATACGTGCTCAGGTCGGTTAGTACAAGAAAATGGAATTCCCCACTTTTATTTGTTTGCTAATAAGCTCATCACTATTGATATTCGATAAGTTGTTTTAGCTTTGATCAGTTTGCGGTGTAGCCTGATTAAAATGCTGCTTTATTCATGCAGACTCTGGGATAATGCAACGGAAACCCCATTTGGAACTAGGTATTAAGTCATGCCAACCAAGGGTTAGTTTTCACTTGGTATTGAAAAGTTGCGTTTAATCCCAATTCCTATTTTCTGGTTTGTTTTAAAGAGTGGAAAAGTGTGAGTTGGCTACCAGCAGCGCAAAGTCAGTTTGTTCGTTCCGATCCGATAACCACGCTGTTTCGAGATGATCGCCTCCTGAATTCCATGGAAAGCGGCTTTGAATGCTCCTGGACGCTTGACCGTATCGTGATTATGATTGAATGACCTAATTGTTCTGGGCCTATCATTTGGGACCATATTCTCTAGATGTGTCATGAATCCCTCCATGACGGTAACTCATTATCAAGTTAGAGAAAGGCGCTGATCAACACAGTGGTATGCATTGGTCAGATAGTGTACGTGTCGAATAAAGATTCTATGAAGCACCCGGGGCATCGCCATCAATTGTACGGGTATTGTAGATTAGGATTCACTCTTATATCCTCCAGTCTCTCAAAATGAATGGAGATAATGGAGCCAATTTTATCAGGCTGTGAAAATAGGCGACAGGAAATAGACATGTAACAGGGATTATCATCTGTACAACGATGAAAAAAGCTACGTGTGTGTCATTACGTTGGCGTTGTAGAGAGAGTGTATGTGCCAATCAGGAGATCATAGAGGTAAATCATTGGACTTTGGTGGCCATTAAATAAATTCTGATTTATTCTTCTTATCCCTGTAAAACATCATCATTTTTCTATCTCCGTCGTATCTATTACTCCCCGCATCCAAAGATTCGTGAACGGGATTTGGCTAACCGGGACTTTAAGGTCAAACGAGACGCTGCAGTTGAATTCCGGTCGTTAGATGTCACCCCTGTACCTGTTTTACAATCCACTATGAAAATTGCAGATTCCTCTTCGTCCACGGATCTTGAATCGATTGATCAAACAGGCAATCAGCCACGATGGATCGATGGTATGTGCACCGATTTGCCAGTTGCCACACAATGATAATTTAGAATCATAACATTCCATGAACCGATATCAAATGGAGATGTTTAGAATACACGAAGAAGGCAAACGGAGCCCAGTTTTGCAATAAAATCTTATTAAGGGAATTGTATCTATAATCATAGACACACATATATACCTTGCGGTTTGGAAGTAGACTGGAAAACGAGCTCAAACTTTTGCAAGAATTTATGGTCGCTTGAACGTACTCCTTCACAACGTTGTGACAGCACCTGATTACTCGTGTATCGTCACAATAATTTGGTTCTCATCTCACAGAATAATTTTGACAAGAGCTATTCTCAGTGTCTAGAGAGTATTTACCGAATAGGGATCCCTGACGAGCGGCAAGAACCCAGAAACCGGTCGGGCGCTTGTACGGGAATTTATCCCGGTCATTCATTAATGGAGTCTCTAAAATTCCGCACTCCTCAAGCAACCGATGAAGTACGACGAACTAACACACGGACGAAAACGTGATTCCAGTGGGCAAACAAATCGCTTTCCCTGAGCGGATTGAAATTACAAGCTGTAGTGTTCGCGGGTGTTTTTACTTGCTGGCAAAAGAGCACTTGCAAAGGTTACCCAGACAGCGTCATTTTCCATGGATCTCTTGTATTCAATTGCGTGAATATAATCTTAAACACTGGTTTTGGTTCCTTCTTTACCACCGTCAAGTTTGAGAACCCCTTCTACCCCTCACATTTCGCGTTCGTGTTAATCCATCACCACAACAAAGCATCTGGTCAACTGCACACCTCTCCAACCCAATTCGTATGTGATATGGTTATTTTCGCATTGGATTGCGGACGAGTCGTCTGTATTCCATTGGCCTTTGTTTAACCTGGTCTATGACTGTCTACTGGAATGGTTAAATACTGGTATCTGATGCCAACATCTGACCCTTGTTTCCACTACCCAGCTGAGCTATCTATCAACTGACTACACTTATAACTGATGTTCGTAATGAAAGTGCAGTTTGTCGGATTCTTCAGCACGTCTATGCCAAGGCAACTACTGAATCTCACATTATTGTATTCTATTGTAATATCTTGAGCAAGCAATTATACCTACATTTCAGTCAGAAATGTGTTCTCTATTACAATGAGATAAAAAATGCAGAAATAATATAAAAAATGATAAACGGTGAACAATAGGTGAACTTTTTAAACTCAAGATAAGAAAACGAACGTAATTCTCACATTGAGTAATGTGAAAAATACAAATTTGTGATCAGAGTGTTTAAGAAAAACACGGCTGGTAGTTACCAAACTTCGGCGAAGGTTAGTGAAGTGCTTTTCAAGCAGTCCGGGGAGGATAACGCGCGGACAATAAAGTATGACAGGAAAAATACACGGATAAAGATAGAAACATATATTTGAATGCTTCATAATAAATTATCATTGCTTACGTATCTGGAAGGACAGACAACGCAGTCTTCCCATACAGGCTAGTAAATACATGAGACGACCACCATAGATGATTGCTTTCTATTGATAACTCCAAGGTATTTGGTGGTGTGTATTCTGGCGACTGAAGGTTTCAAGGAATACTCAGATCTGGGAAGACTGTAGACACATTCAAAACATTTGGAAGCGGTCGACTAGAAACTGAATCGATTCGAGAATAAAAACAGTTGTACTAAAATGTCAGAAAATAATTCCATGTCGGATTAATTTGAGATGGCTTCATATAATACCATATCATCAGCATATTTCAAAGTTTTGGCTGTCAAAATAGAGGGTAAGTCACTGATGAATGCTGAGAATAAGTATGGAGAAAGCACAGTAACCTGAAGGACTCCAGAATTATTCACTGACGGTTTTGAAACAGAGCCGTTCTTTGAATGCTTCCTGTTTGAAATAATCCTTCAACCACGACAATGACCGTGGAACAGAATAGAACGCGCAGTAACAATCACACAACAAACGGATTCTCGGGGATCATCAAAAGATTTGGAACTAAAGTTCATCACTAAAGAGACAGTATTCAAAGTACATCTATTTGGCTTATTCGTAAACTGAAGGAGGTTATTTGGAACATTGATACCAACCCGGAGGCGAAGCAGAACAGTTTAAATCCAGAGGAAGCGATGGCGATGAGATGAAATTTGTTTTGCCTCGGTCTTACAAAGTCGAAAGCCACCAGCTGTTTTTTAAATGACTTTTTCCTACTCTGAAGCCTAGAACACTGTTGCCTGTTTGGTACCCTTTAAATTGCCATGTTCGCTTAATCGGTCTGTCTCTGTCAACCGAGCGAGCCGCCAATCACCACATATTTATTTAGTCGCTTAATAGATAGCTTTGGAGGCTTGCTCTTGCAGTCCGATGAACAGGGAATATATGCGTTCTCCTTTGCTCGCGCGTCTTAGGACGATGCGCGGACTAAGAGAGCGTCCTTTAAAACCAAACGGGGCGGTAGACTTACGCGCTCAAACGCTGACCAATAAATCACTGATTTTTTGAACTTTTTAAAAATTGATGCTTTTTGAAGGTGTAACATTCGGTCCGATCGAGTGCATATATATATATATATATATATATATATATATATGTTAAATCCTAGTTCTTAATCTTCTTCCCCCCATTCCCAGCTTTCATTTATTTCTCTTAAGAAGTAATTTGCGTTCATTTTCCGTCAACATACCAATTTTATCCACTTCTGTATCTCGTTTAAGGTTTACGGCCATTGCAAATGGCTGACACACATGCGATGATTGATGCCGCTGTGTCCAGTCACATCGATACACCTGTAGGTCCATCCTCACCACAGAACCCCGAGGAGCGTTTACCTACACCCCAGACGTCACCAGACCTGACGGAACATTCGGTCAGGCGCTCAGTAACTACACCAATTCATAGTCCAGACCGTTCCGTGCCGTCACATCTAGATGCGTGCGTGAGTTTTCGAGTGAGTTATGCAACGGTTACCATTTCTCCAAAAATCGAGATTTTCATCCTCGGTGTTCTCACTGCATCATCGACACACCGAAGTGTGTATTGTGTATAACTTTTGCAAGCACTGGAGCTTACATTTCAGTTAAAAAACCATACACGCTAACCGTCACAATGTGCATAATCAACTGTGAGGAAATTTTTACAGGGGACATTTCATAATCCAAGGATAAGACAATGTTCACTTATTTCCTGCTCTTTGTTTATGAGCAGACGAGCAAGATACGGTATAGGTGAATTGAGGTAAGCGTTAATTCGCGATGAAGTTTGACGGAATTGGGAGCTCGTTGAATGATGGGAACGACAATTTCTTAGTTCTGCGTGCAATGGGTGGTCAGGATCTGTAAGAATACTCACCGCGAATTTCACACAGGAAGTTACCTGATATTCTGATAGCTTCAAATTTAGCTCATTCACAGGAATAGGTGAGGTACGACTAATAATAGTTCGACCGCGGTGTAAGAAGAGGAAAAATCACACTGAACAGACTGAACAGAGTTGTTCAAGGATTTAGTGATAAAATGAATGAGAGTGGAGACTGCGTCCAATGTGTAATTCTTTTTATTTTATTTTGTTTTTGAACGGGGAAAAGTATCTCAGATTTGATCCCATTTGTGAACTGCTCTATCATCACACAGTGATAAAAGAACAGTAGTAAGGTCTTTTGTGCATTCTAATGACTCGGCTATCCTTTTCACCTTCTTAGGACAACACATCTCCGCTGCATCATGACTACAGGAGCAGACAAATGGACGCTGGAACATGTTATGAGTCTGAAAGTGATTCTGATCGCCCGATTACAACCCCGGAATCCTCTCCCACCGCTCATCGTCCGACGACGATGCGCAGCACACCTTCCAGCCCCCGATCGATCCACATTGATCATCCGACTCGGTAAGTCGTTGCCCGTTTTGAGCGACTTCAAATGCGTCATTGTTATAGGGCACAGATTCAGGAGTACATCTAACTCGTAGTTGACACTCTGAGTAAGGGTGTGTAGAATAAGTGATATTGGAATTGATTTGGAATAATTGTAGCTCGGGATGCGGATGTTGGTGTTGGTGATCTCTCCGAACTGGAAGGGTTGTTCGCAGAGATTTTGTAGCCAAGCTAGGCAAAATCGTCAGTGCGACTTCGGGGAACCGTCAGTCCTCAGTGGAATCGGGCTTATGTAGTTCTGTTTGAGGGTTTCGATTGGCTGTTTGCGTTCATCTAATCCTGTTGGCCTATAACAACCGCTTTCTGTGGTTTGACTGGCCGCTTCTTTGCCTTTCGTTGCTATCAAACCAGAATGAACTGACTGACCACCGTCGGAGTCAACATGTGAGCAAATGTAAATTTACAGTCGAGGCCATAGATGCGTAGCTAAGCCAATCAGAGATACAATTCCTTTGCGTATTAATTGTATTCACATCTGGAAACTGACAAACAGTAAGACACGCACACTACACCATCACAACAAGAACAACCGCAGCACACGAACTCTGTTTGGTGTCTGTTCATTCACACGAGCAATGCAGGATAATTGCAAAACTACTTTCAAGTCAAGAAACGCGCTATGCACCCAAATGGTGAATTTTCGGCAATTGTTCTATGGTCAGGTGTCGGTTGTGTTGCTTCGAGGGTTTCGTTTCCTATTCCAAATGGTATATGCTTCACATATACCCCATTCACGTTCTGAGCTCTCCGGCGAATGAAATATAAAACCTTGCTAAATATACCCTCAGTCGACCGGGGGGAGGGGGGGGGAGAGAGCTGATAAGTTTGAGAAGGTCAGCGACGGGTGGGAGGACAAAGGTCAAATGAATTTTATTGTAGGTTAACAATCAGGAAGAGGTACGTGACGTGTATCAAAACGTGAGAATTAAAAAAACGAATGCTTCGGTGTCAAATGTTCGCTGGAAGTGAACTCACATAAATACACTCCCAGTACTATTATCAGTTTATTAACGCTGCAACATTTGACATAACTGCCATGACCGAGGCTCAAGAATTACGAGTTTTGTCTAAATATTAGAAAAAGGTTTACATGTTATGCGGAAGCAGTGACGTGTGCCAAAGTCAATTATGCCGTCGATCGATTCTCCGTCCCACTCGCCGGTGCTTATCTCAGACGAAGACCTGTTAGTCATTGTCCTATTGTAGATTGTCACGTGGCGCATGATTCATTCAATAGAAGCTACGTGCTCTGAACTATGCGTGTTCTGTGCCTTGTTCTCCGGGCTAACTACGGGTTAACTTGTTTGCGGCTAACAGAAACACTGAGGCTTTACGAGATTTATCAAATAGTTTGACGTTATAGTCATCTTATAAACCTTATTCAATGAATATGTGGTGCGGCATTTGATATAATTACGACGGTTGACTGCGTAGTATACGCGCGCCCTTCGATTGACTGCGCTACACTCGTGCTTGTTCTTCACGTTGGAATTTATCGTTTAATTCATCCAAATAACGGTGCTAATCATGACCAGGGTCTACAAATATTCTCGTCAGGACATGCTACGACTAAAAACTGTTTTTTCTGTGCTACCCACTGATTACTTGCTTGGTGAGAGTCATAAAAGCCCTTTGATCGAAAAATGCCGACGGGCCGGATGGCAGACTGCACTTACTTGCACACCTGCCAAGATGACTGTGCCACCATTGGTCAGCACCAACGATCGCTCACTATTCGCAAAGATCTCGGATTTTACCTCTATTCTGAACACACGCATTAATTCCAACACATGTGTTGTTTGTGTGAAAGAAACATGGCTAAACCAAAACATCGAAGACGTTCTCGTGCGAATAGAAGGGTTTGATTGCTACCGGCAGGATAGACAGCGAAGTAGGAAAAAAACCGAAGGCGGGGTGACGACTTACGTCAATGTTTCCTGGTGTGGCAAGTCAGAAGTTATATTTAACTACTCTGAAAACTGCATTGACTGTTTGTCTGTTCGTTGTCACCCTAAATTTTCTCGTCACAAAAGTACAATCATCACCAATGTGTATCTATCTCCTTTGTGTACTCCGACCCGACATTTCTGCTTTCTTTGATTCCTACATTCCATTTATAGTTCCATTATTAGATGAAAATCTTCACCTACTTGCTGGTTATTTCA